ATATCTAATTTACTTCARAATATCTAATATTCTGAAGTAAACAGCTACCAAACCATTCACATAAAAAAGCAAAATGACATGAAAACACGTATGGTTAAATATGGTCACAATATGGTTAAAATGATGAAAAGGTGAAGGGAGATTAAAATGGTCATGTTTTCCCCCTAGACCTATCTAGACTGTATTGCAGTACAATGCATACCATCCTTGAAGGAGTACAGAATGCTGCACTTGTACAGATTTTTTCTCTTGTCTACTGAAACCTTTCTGTAATAATACCAGACATGGAAGCTTACCTTGGTGTGGGTTGTGAAATTTCATTCATATTCTTTTATAAACAATTTAACAAATTACCCGTACATTTTCATGCCATAAAAATCACTTTAGCAACTCTTGCAAAACTTGAACTTTCAGAAGCAGCAGCCACCTGGGGATTTGCAAACCCTCCACAGGAAAGATCACCGCCTATGATTAAAAAATAAAACATATATAACTAAAGCTTTATGTTCTATTATATAGAACCTTACAGCCCCTAAAAGACAAAGATACATGGCTCACAGAGTAGCAATTTTTCATGTAAAGTATCAACATACCTTTTCAGGATGACGATTTCTGCTCACAATACAGTGTTGTCACGGGTCCTTTATGTGGGTTCAAACTTAGTGATGCTTAGTGATGCAAACAGCGATCCAAGTATTACCAGAATGAATGCTCCTTATCTAATCTGCTGATATAACACTGGCCAAAAAAAAGAGCTGGCTGAACAGCAGAACTTTACCAGAATTTTAAGGAAGGAACTCAATCTGAACTGGATTTAAACCGTTTTTTAGAACTTCCCACAGATCAGAAACTTAGAGAAAGAGTAAGAAAACTTAGGAGAAACAGGATGAGCGTATTTCTTCCTAGATCCTTATTTGAGATGTACTTTTCTAACTTTCCCATAATTACTAGATTCCAGTCTCCTTTCCACTCTCATTACCCAGTGTTCACCCCGAACGGACTTAATGTCTAACGGCACTTTTTTTTTTTTTTTCCATTGATACAGTAGCGTAGGAAAGAAGCTAGCAAACTTCAGTTAAAACCCCAGTTTGAAATGTTCTGTATTGTTTGATTTCCTCAATCAACCTATACAGCTCATAATCCCCACACTCTCAACAACCTGATTCTTAACACAGACCAGATCATCTGGCCAGCAAAAATCCCAAATATCTGGCAGGCTTGCCAGAATGCACCAAAGATAGGTTCTTTTTTCCTATCAACCTGCAGTATTAYTGTGCTCCTAGAAACACCACACTTCAATGTTAGGTATCTTATGCATGTTCTTATGCTCTTAATGCATGATGCTCAAAGGATACAAGTCTACCAAAGGAGTATTTCACTGTGGAGAAAAGCTAGCGCATAATCACCACTAGAATGGAATTCCAGAAAGGTGCATTCCTTTACACCCAGCTGAGAAGCAGTGTCATTATGCACGAGACCATGCCCCACCTGGAAGCAAGTACTAATTTGCTGTAGCATTACATAAAAGGCACTTTGGGAAGATGAGGCAGGCTATTCTAACAGACGCTTCAATGAAAGATCTAACTGCAAGTCTGTTTCTGCGAAGTTCTGAGCAATACTTTCAAGTCAAAAGCATGAAAGGGTGTTCACTGCCCGGCCTGCCCGAGGGTTCTCGTATGAACAAGCAAATGTCCCAATACTTGCTACGCGGGCCAGGGCCTACTGCAGGAATTCCATAGTTTTAAGCAAATGGCCCACGGCCTTTCCCTCTCATCTCAGTCATACAATGCTGCCTATAAGAAATTCTGAACTGTGGATACTAACAGGTCAGATCAACAATGGTTTAAACAGCCATAGAATAAAAAGCTTCATCTACAATAACGTGCAGCGGCTGAGCGTGCATGTTGCCCAGTCCTGAACAGCAATGCACACAGAGAGCTCTTTGAGGGAGGCCACATCTCTACTGCCTCAGAACTGCTGAAGGGCTCCACTTCCCTTCCTCCCACTCTGGAATGCAGAAATGCATCTTAATTACATACATTTAAAGCAAAATAGTGCACAAGATCAGCGAGTCCTCTTCAAAATCCAAATGAACAATTATTGCCACAAAATACCCACTGTATCAGCTTGCAATTGAAGCCTTCAGCAGAAAAATATTCAGATTTTTTTCAAACACAAATACTGAAGAAATAAAGTTTGCAATCCATCCTTAATCATTTTGAAACTTTACTTTTAGGTATATAAAATTCTCAGGGTGGTAAAAGCTAGTTTTATTTTAGTAAATAAATAGTTAAATAAAGCAATAGTATAAAGATAATAAGCCATGATTCAGCACAGGTTTTAACTTTGCTGCTTAAGGTCAGCAAACATGAAGAATTAAGCACATACTTAAGGTGGTTGATGAAAAGCATAGKTTTGTGTTCACTGATTTTTTTTCCCCACTTTTTCCATCTTTTCCATCTAAAGCACTACAGCACTATGCTAGTGCATAGCAACAACAACAAAAAAAAATCAGAATGAGAGCGAATTTGTCTTCCCTCCCCTTCGATTCTCCTCTTTTCAGTACCTACTAATAGACAAATGCACAAGAGCACTCAGCGCTAGCAGCACTGAACCACGTAGCTGCTGTGTGAGCAGCAAAGCCCCGGCACSAACAGCGTTAGCGCAGGCCGTGCAGCAGAGGCCAGCGCCACCTGCCCTGCCCAGCCCAGCCCAGCCCAGCGCACAGACCTGCTCCGCTGGACCCCCAGCACCTCCTGGAAAGAGCCTATTTACGGAGCTGCCCTAAGGGAACCTCCAGYGAGCTGGGAGCTTGTGAGGAACTAACCTGCCTCTTCGAGTTAATTTGCTCTTCTTTCCCCACTGTAAAGTAAGATTAATTAGACTGCAGAAGGATATAAAATTGTGTTAGGATTAGAAGTGAAGTTAGTCTGTACTTCATTCCAGGCCTACATTCCAACATTTGTATATTTTCTATGTCCACAATTTTGGTTGGATGCAACTACCTGACAATATTTTTTAAAATSATCAAATAAAGGTCTGCACTGTGAAACAGAACTGTTAAACACATGGTACAACATGGCAAGATGGTGTGATCTCCGAAAGTGGAAATACTGATTCAGTTTGTAAGTCTTGGGATGTCTTTTGCATTTTTATGGTATTATTGCCTTTAGGATAAAGGCAATTCTGGATAAAAAGATTTCTGCAAGGGAGGACTCTGCACAGTAATAGCAAAGCAGTAATAGCTGTGAGGATTTGGATAGGTACACAAAAAGCACATTCTCACAATGATTGCTTTTTATCTGCTTGTTAAAGCAGTGAACAAAATGCACCACACAATAAAGTGTTAATTGCTGGTGATTAGCCTCTTCTCCAACACATTTGTATTAGCACTGTGTCAGAAGCTCACAGTTCTTCAGGCATCTTCTGTTGTAAAGGAAGCAAATAACACATAGCAAAGCATTTACACAATCGCTTCTTTTAAACTGTTTTGAATTATTATAGCAAACAACTTAGAGTATTAATTTTGCTTAGTATTAAGTTTGTTTCCAGGCAATTTATCTCCCTTTCAAGTAATTTTAGAACTGCTGGTTGAATGCACRGATTACTTTCCTGGGACTCCTGGATGAATAAACATAAAATCTATGAATCTTAAACGTTTCCAGGGAGAACTGTCTCACAGAAATCCTTCCAATACCATCTTTAGCATTCATTGTAATTTCATAATAATAATTTCAAATATTACGCTGAGACATTGAGAAGTACCTCGGAAAACTATAGTCAAAAAGACAAAGGATAGCAAAAAAAAAAAAAAAAAAAAAAAAAAGTGAAATGGAAGCAAAAGTGGCATCAAACAGGTCCTAGTACATTACCTGGTCTGAATACTGCACTTATGTGTCCCACAACCAACAGAAGCAAAGTCACTCTGACATCTCAGGTGTCCATCTCAACATAAAGATCTCACACAATTACTAGCAAAAGTCAACTATTTCCTAAATTTCCCATTCTTYAGAAGAATTTGAAACCACTGCCTAGAAAGCTTGATCCTTTCACATGGTTTCTACTGCAGCTGTTTTATATTAAGTGCTTTTCCTGCAAAAAAAGAACACAGCTAAAACTGCATTAGTTAGAGAATTCTTCTGAATGACAGTTAAATCTGTGCAACTGAGTTGGTCACCATAAGGAAACAAGCAGTGTTTTCTCTCATCCTGCAACCTTCTGGGGAGGGAACCTAAGGGATCCAGACGCACTGTTTGATACAGAGGAGGAGACCTTCCGCGAAGGGCTTTGCTCCTCCAAAGTGATCCAGTTCCCCAGCACTACCTGGTGCTGGAAGSCTGTTATCCAGCAGCCAGCATTTAACTGCTCGGTGAGGTTCACCACCTTGCTTCTGCTCTCCGAGCACTTCAGGAGATGCAATTTCGGTGCAAGAGAACAGTTTTTCCAACAGTTGGGTGATTTTCTCTGCTGCAGAGCCTCAACTATTCCAGAATGAAGGACTGAAAAAAAAAAAAACGAATCTAGGCTGTTATTGCTCCCACTCATTCCGCTGGTTCAAGGATCAAAACTCCTATAATTCATTTAGAAATTGACATAAATTTCAAAATAAGGTTCCCCGAGACCCTGCTGTTGGTTTGTAAGTTGAGCAAGGCCTTGAAAMGAACCCTAAAATCTGCTGCAATACATAAAATACAAAATGTATACACAGTAACGGCAGTATTGTTTGCTAATAGGAATTTAAATTACAAAAACAGAGATTAATGAATTAAATATGAAGTTAGTCTATGGTAATAG